ATAGTGAATCCGTATCGGCAATTTTTTTTAAATGCACAAAGATTTTTTGGCTCTGAATATATTTAAAAATCATTTACTTGTGTGTTGATGAATTTATATACTAGTACATGAAGTACCTAATACTTGTTTTGATTTGAATAGGTAGCGATATTATGAATTTATTATACGTAATCTAAAGATTTTGACGAAATAAAAGTAATTAGTTATCTGTTAACCTTGACTTCATGCTGGCACCAGTATTATCAGATGATGAACATACTCTTCGAAAACTTACAGCAGAAATATCGTGTTTGGACTCATTAGATAGGTCTCGATGAATAGAGTTTAAAAAACTTAAAATAAATGGTAAATTAGAAATAATGTATAAATACCCCTTACGTAAAATTCAACCACTTTAAACTTAATAATAATAATAATTAGGAAAACATAAAAGCTATACATGCGCTGAAAGTAATTGATGCCTTCCACACAATATTTACAGTATTAAAAAACTCTGTTTGTTCAGTAAAAGTGTAAATACACTGGTAACCTTTAACCATATTTTATATGCAAACATTACATATACAAACCCTAAAGTTTTATTTCAGAATAGCCATTAGTTTTGAAGAAATAAGTCTTTGAAATTGTACGTGTAACTTATATATATACTATTTTTTTCACCATAACAAACAACACCAATATGGCCTAGTTAGTAGTTTACCTGTGTACCAATTAATAATAATAGTAATCTCAGGACAATTCACACAGCTTCATCTAGACCCAAGTTAAGCTAGCTGAAGATTATGTTATGGGTACTAGACAACTGATATAAATAGAAAGATTTTTTTCGTAAATACATATATATTATACGTAGAAAACACCCAGACCGATACAAACAATTTAATAATAAGTTAATAGTTTAATAAGTACGTACGTAATATTATCACATGGTAACAGCACGTATTATGGCAAAAATAAACATCGGCTGATTTGAAAAGATTTATTATAGTAATAATAGTAATCTCAGGACAATTCACACAGCTTCATCTAGACCCAAGTTAAGCTAGCTGAAGATTATGTTATGGTTACTGATATAAATACAAAGATTTTTTTTCGTAAATACATATATATTATCTATACATAGAAAACACCCAGACCGTTATAAACAATCATACTCATGAATACAAATGTTTGCAGCGTGCGAGGAATCGAACCCTCGACCACCAAGCAGGAATCAAAGCAGTGTGCTAGCTAAATCGCTAGACTACCGACAACTAGCTGTACACGCGACTTCGTCCGCGTGGAATTTAACTTCTTATATTTTAGAAAAATAAAGTTAAATTCCACACGGACGAAATCCCGTGTACAGCTAGTCATCAATAAAAAAACACGTAGGTATCTCTAATATATTATACACTAGCTGTTCCCGCGACTTCGTCCACGTGGTTTTTAACTAAATTGTGTAGGATAACGTAATAGTAACATTACAGTAAAATTTTGTCAACAACATAATAGCAACTTAAATATTAAATCTCGGTATATCTATAGACTAGCTGGCCCCAGCGACTTCGTCCGCGTGAAATTTTATTTTATTTTTCTAAAATAACAGTAGCGTAAGTTACTCCTTATTACATCAGCTACTTGCCAAAAAAAGTCCCGTCAAAATCGGTCCAGCTATTTCAGAGATTAGCCGGAACAAACAGACAGACAGACAAAACTTGTAAAATATGTTATTTTGGTGTATGTACCGTATTTATATTCATATGCAAGTAGTAAAAAACGGTTATTTCAATATTACAAACAGACACTCCAATTTTATTTACATGTATAGATGTATAGATTAAAAAAAAGTAACAGTCATAAGGCTAGTCGTATGCCTAATATATATAATAATGTAATAAATTCATTTAAACAGAAATTGCGGGAATATTATTTAAATTTGTAACTTTTTTACTGTCCTTCTCCTTTTTTCACATCTTTCTGTTATATCCCTATAGTTCTCTCTATATTTTCTGTTTTTCTTACTTTCAATTTTAGACTGTACTTATAATTTGATTATCGGATCATTATGTATTTATTTATACATTTATGGGTTATATATTTATGTATGTATATTGTTATTTTTTTATAGAAATGTATATTTTGCTTTGTATTTATATATCTTTTTTTGACATTTCTTATTTATATTAGTGCACCGCCAATAATCTTTCGCTGCACCACTCATGGTTGCCTGGTAAATAACGCGGCAAGATATTAAGTCCGCCACATATACAATTTTTTTTGTGCATTAAAGTTAAATAAATAAAAAAAATACAATACTGTTTAATGAAAATGCGTATTGTCTAGTGCTTTGAGATGTATCAAAATAAGGTCAACAAAAAAGTCCGTGATGGTTATGTCTATCTCTCAAGGATAACCAACAATAACCATTTTTTATCTTTTACATTTTACGGGAATTTTTTTATCGTATGTTTCCCTTAAAATCATGTAAACTATGCTATTATGTCATAATCTAAAGAAATAATAATATTTTATAGTGAAATATCCACTATAAAATAGTAATGTAAGTAGCAATGTAATTCGTTACGCGCGAATCAGCTGTTATAAGGTCAAAGGTCGGTGCACCCCGCGTATTTGATAAATAGTGCTTCTCTGGATGTCTTTAAGAGAAAATGGCAGTATGTACGTGTATTTGTACAAGTCCTTAAGTGTTAAGTTTTTCAAATGTACAATAAAGAATAAATATTTTTAAGTACAGTACTTACGTACATTAATATAATACCTACTTTTTACTTGTATCTATTGTTATCAAAATTAAATTATAAGTTCTTAACTTGACCACGACTATGTGACCCTCTCTTGGCGCCAAAACGAGTGAAAAAATGAACAGCATACGACGACGACGCAGTACCTATAGAGTGGAGCAAGTGCTTATTCAGTTTTATTCAACTATTTAGTCCCTCCACCGTTACAATGAATGGAGGCGGATATTACAATGCTACATACATTGCGAATATAAAATATCTAGATTAGGTATAATAAATTCATAATTGATAGGCCGTTACGGTATCAGAGCCAAAAAGTCTTCTTTCTTTATTTATGTACGGTTATATGCGACATCGACTTTGTTTTATACTACACTATGTAATGATTGATATACCTAAAATAAATAAAATATCTGAGGTTTGGACAAAAATTCAAAAGGTACTTTATTTTGAAAAAGTATTTTGAAAATACCTATTTTGCATTTAGTATTTGAAATACAAAACACAAAACTATTTTTGTTTTTAGAGTGACATTTCTATGAATTCACTGTCGATAGCGAGCGGTGCGATGGAAAAAGATAACCGTTTATAAAAATATAATAAATAGCCCTGGACAATTAACACAGACTGATACTGAACTGATATAAATAGATATTTTTATTCTGTAAATACATATATAATATACATATAAAACACCCAGACCGATGAAAACAATCGATGACCGATGAGTACAAATGTTTGCACCGTGCGAGAAATCGAACCCGCGACCATCGGATGTAAAGCGGTGTGACCACCGAGGCAGTCGAAATATATAAATAATCTTATGAATTTAATTTATTCTAATTTGTTTGTGTGCGCGGGGTGCGGTGTACGGTGCTCCCCCCTGCCTCCACCGTTGCTGGAGCTTGCATGTATGGAGCATTGCGAATATAAAATATCTAGATTAGTAAATTCATAATTGATAGACCGTTACGGTATCTATATATATTCGGATTAAAATAAGTATCGCAGTAAGGACCAGTATATAAAGTGATCAACACAATTAATTGATTTTTGAAATATATACAGAGCCAAAAAGTCTTTGTGTATTCAAAAAATATCTAATTTGTTTGTGTGCGCGGGGTGCGGTGTACGGTGCAGGGGGGACCCTGCCTCCACCGTTGCTGGAGCTTGCATGTATGGAGCATTGCGAATATAAAATATCTAGATTAGTAAATTAATAAATTCATAATTGATAGACCGTTACGGTATCTATATATATTCGGATGAAAATAAGTATCGCAGTAAGGACCAGTATATAAAGTGATCAACATAATTAATTGATTTTTGGAATATATTCAGAGCCAAAAAGTCTTTGTGTATACCAAAAATTTAGCCGTTCGGAGCCATTCAGTCACGAATTATTAGTAAAAAATATGTCGAGTATATCGTACTATCGACGAATATATATGGCCACATTGCAAAATAGAATGCGACGTTGCCATACCGCCTGAGATATACGCGATAGGAGTCGAGTTATTCAGTGCAAAAGGTGGAATCAGCAAGTGTTTAGGTTGTGGCGTGATCAACAAAGTGCCCAAAGAGGTGTTTATATATATATATATATATATCAATATATACATTTTCATTTTTTTAATAAATAGATATTCTCGTTACGTGTTATTTGAATAAGTAAATGAATAACTGTTGTCTATTTTCGAAATCGATATGACTAATTCCCATTTTGATAATATAGTAATTTCCCTATGATTAAAGTCTACTTTAATTGTAGAGTAAGATATTCGTATCTGTGGAACGAAATAACTAATTATTGTTCATAATGTTTAGCCTAATAATAATAACAATCCTCTTTCTCATTAGCACCAGCATTTAAGCCAACGTTTACACGACAAGGTCTTGAAAGCATCTAATAAGCCATGCCAATGTCAACAATATTTGACACCCACCAATATTAATGTGCTCGAGGAACTGAGCCTACAACAAAAAAAAGGATACTAAAATGGGCACTGCGTAAAACACTCTAAATTCATAATTTCCTTTGGCCACCCGCCAGACGCCGGGCGTAAGAATTGGCTGTAACTCATCGTGTTTTGGCTTGTTTTGTCGTTGGATCCATTTAAGACATTTATGAGTAAACTAGTCATCTCCGTAGTTTGTCAACAGAATTGGTAACCTCCTTTTTTAATTTTTTTACTATTAATGGTATCTTAAATAATCAAAACATATGGAAAATGATAACTTTACATTCCAATCTCTTGTCAAAATCCAAACGCAACAATATTTTACATGAAATTAATTTAATGGTCTTAGTATAGTTTTCAACTAGCAATTATCACACCTCGGATTAATCTCAATGGTTACGATATTGCCTCTGCATAAAGTTAATGTACTTAGGGTCAGGATACTACAGTTAGGATTTTATTAATGTTAACTTTATTAGATATATTTTGTTGAATTGTCGTGTTACCTACTACTAGAATTGATTAAACTTGCAATTATTGGTTGATATGTAATAAATAGCAGCCATACGGTCTAATTCCCGACTTGAATGTCTTATTACTATAATTATTTTTCAATCGACTGGCGCTATTACGAAAGGTATAGCTTCCATATTCGGTTCTATTTGTTTTTGAGCAAGACAGTATGATGTACTATATGTTAATTAAATGAAACCTATTATAATTAATTTTAATATTGCCTCATACATTATAGAAACTACAAATTGTATTGTGTGTTTCGAATTAAATCATTGAGATATATATGTATAATGCTTAGAAAATTTACTTATTTGTATGAAACTCATATATTATATGACTTTATATTCAAATATCCAGTCATATCTCGTTTTTACGAGCTCAACGTGTAGGATAAATTTACTTCCTTTTTGCCTATAGAACTTATTTATGTGATTTTGTTGCAAATACCTTTGTGTTTATATTAAAAAAAGAAATTCCGTAGGATAGAAATCTTGACAACCTTGATGGTATAGCGATGTAATACACTAGTTCTCGGTATTGAATTTGATTCTGAAATATAAGTACATGAAACAACTATGTTCGCGAGTTTATCTTTCTACATTATACAGTAGCTATTACACGCATGCAGACACACTTTAGCATTCATAATGTTTGTAGATAATAGTTTTTCAATGCACTGCTTAGTTTGGAACTAGAGGACGCTGTGTGATTTATATATATATGTATACATAGGTATTTATTATTATTCTCATCATCATCTCAATCTGTTATGAACTCATTCAATCTATATGACCTTTAGGTATAATTTGTTACTTGTACCAACATCATTAAATGCCAAAACCAATTCACTGAGAAAAGCTAATAATTTATTCCGCACTCATACAACCAAAACAACAGCTCTCTTCATCAGTTACCATCGATAACGTAAATGACCGAACAATTAGCTGGGAGCTAACTTCCAAACCGAACAGCTAACTCTTTGTAATTCCAACCGTAGGATTCGGTTCGAACCCTAATGAACTTGTTTACAGAGTGAGGAATTGACTTGATAAAAATAACGTCTTCAGGCTTTAAATGGTATTATTTATTTGAGTTTCCAACATTACTATAATTCATATATTTCTTTCTTTTGTTTATAATGCTATAATAATATCCATCCATCTAGTCCTAAGCTAAGCTGAGCGTGTGTTATTAATACTAGACAAATAATAGATATACTTAGATAATTTTTTTTCTGAATATATAAGTACATATGTTTTTCATGAATACAAATGTTTGTGCCGTGTTTGCGAGGAATTGAACTCGTGACTATTGGAAGCACAGCAGCGTGCTAAACCGCTATAACATCACAGTATTTATTTTTAAATTATGGAAATGTCAAACTAGCTGACTGCCTACATCTGGCTATAGTATGTGTCCTACCTCTCATGCCTTGCCATTCCTAAAAACTACAAATCCTACCTTTAATTTTTAATATTAGACTAATTATGAATGTCGTCATGTACATAAACGAACATGAATTTGTTTAAATAATAGATAAGTAAGTAATAGATAGTAGTATCTTGGTGGTTGTCCTTGAATTATTCAAAGAATAATTTTAATTGAAATTAATATTCTTATATAATTTTCAGAGTACGTCTTATCAATTTGTATTTTTCTGTTTCTAATATATTTCGTCCTTTTGTGATCATAAAATATATATCCTATGATTTATTTTGTTAATATAACAGAAATTAGGTACATTAGATATATGAAAATACACGCGAGTTAGGAAAACGTCAGCAATTAAACACTACATTTCAACCGAAGCGAAATTCACGACTAAAGCAAACGTTTAACGCACGCAATTTCTCTAATTGAGACAAAAACCAAGACCAGCTGTGCAATATCGAAATTTTGATAATTGCAAAGGGAACCGAACTAACGACTGCTTAACTGGCGAAATTGGAGCTATAAAATCTTTAGCCTTTTTGGATCGTGAATCCATTTGTTTAAAAAACGACTTCAAAGTTCTGTCTCCAGCGAATTTTTTGGAGATTAGCTTTTAATCTAGGAATATACTATTAGGTATAAGGTCAATTTGAACAGATCTGTGTTTGTATACAAGTATCTAAATATCTATCTCAAAGGTGACTGACATAGTGATCTATCAACGCACAGCCCAAACCACTAGACGGATCGGGCTGAAATTTGGCATGTAGGTAGATGTTATGACGTAGGCATCCGCTAAGAAAGGATTTTGATTAATTCTATCCCCAAGGGAATAAAATAGGGGATGAAAGTTTGTATGAAACTTTGTCAATTTTAAACCAATCGGACTGAGACTTTGCATGCATAAAGCTGCTATGACGTAGACATCTACTAAGAAAGAATTTTGATAAATTCCACCCCTAAGGGGATAAATTAACGCGAGCGAAGCCGCGGGCAAATGCTAGTATGTATATAAACCTATTTTATTTATTATAACTCTTTCCACGATTTCGTACACGAGTTTTTATACACCATCTATTTTATTAATGTTAACATATTAAAAAAAGATTATTTTATTTCAGATAAAAATAAATGATAAAATAGTCAGTGAATTATTAAAAATAATCACAGAATTCCTTACACATTTTATCTGGTTTCATTAATCTATATATTGGTTGATCCTTATTTCACAACACATACTAATTCTTCCAGCCGTCGCTACATTTTTATTATATATGTGTATATAGAAAAAATAAATCACAGAGAATTGTATAAGAGAATACTGCTTGTATTCGGACTTTACTTATTCCATTGCATACAAATAGAATAAGTATGATCAATAATATTTACATCATAGCTTAAGTTCTTGGTATGAGACGTTTACAATTTTTTTTTCTTGTTTTTATTAGAGTAATACCTCTTTTCAAATTGATATAGTACCGACGCTGCCACTCTGTATGTTCTCCTCTGTGGTGAAAGCATAATTCATTCTATTTCTGTAACATATTCCCATAAGCCCGGGCCTTTCATCTGGTCACTATATCAGTCCCAAGCGTCTTTTCGAATTCTTTTGCCGAGTTAAATATATAATGGCCTTGTTGCCGAGGTCAAAGCTAATGAGTTGAGACAAAAAACCCTAATCTTGAACTGCTACGCGTTCATCTCACGATTTGTTCTTTTATTCTTTTTTCTTATTTCTTTTTTATTTTATTACCATCATAGTTATACAAAATACCATAACTTGTTCAACCTGTTAGTAAGTTAGATCCTTTCCTTATATCGTTAATATCCATCGTCGCTCAGATTGTCTCTAATTAGTTTTATTAATTTAACTTTCTATGAGTCCAATATCGAATAAAAAAAATTATAATAATTATCCCTTACCTTCAAAATATAAAGACAGATTACATGACGTACAATATTTTTGTTGCTTTAGAAAATGGTGTTCAATACATAATTAAAAAATGAAGCATTAATTTTAAGGTTGTACTGAATGTGTTTTATCGTCTTTGTACTACGAGATAATAAAACCTAGATAGACAAAATAATATCTAGATAATTGGTCAAATTATCTTTTGTGTGTTGAACATAAAAGCAAAACTTAGATAATCTGTGGCTAAGTTTTATCATTTATTTGATTAAGCACTGCGGAGGTTTACACATGTATACTAACAAAAACAATGTACTTATATATCAAATATCCCCATCAGATCATCATCATCAGCCCACTGCAGTCCACTGCTGGACATAAGCCTCTCCCAAGGCACGCCACTGGGCACGATCTTCAGCCCTTCTCATCCAGTTACTACCCGCAACCCTACGTAAGTCGTCGCTCCACCTAGCTGCGGGGCGTCCTACACTACGTTTGCCAATTCGCGGTCTCCACTCTAGAACACACCTACTCCAGCGAGCATCGGTTCTGCGACAGATATGACCAGCCCACTGCCACTTCAACTTACATATGCGAAGAGCTATGTCGGTGACCTTAGTTCTCTGGCGAATCACTTCGTTTCGGATTTTATCCCTCAGAGAAACTCCAAGCATAGCTCTTTCCATAGCTCGTTGAGCGACTTTGAGTTGGTGGACCAGTCGTATCGTCAGTGTCCACGTTTCGGCACCGTAAGTCATAACGGGTAGGACGCACTGGTTATAAACCTTGGTCTTAAGGCTTTGTGGTAGCGACGACGAGAAGACTTGACGAAGTTTCCCAAATGCCGCCCAGCCTAGCTGTATTCGTCTCTTGGCCTCCCTCTCAAAGTTGTTTTTACCTAGTTGGAGCGTTTGCCCTAGATAAATATACTCCTGAACAACTTCGAGAGATACTCCATTAATGGCGACCGGTTCCGGACGAATGCGATCATTGAACATGATCTTGGTTTTGTCCAAATTCATCCGAAGACCGATGCGTTGAGACGATTCAGCCAGGCCGTTCAGCATCTGTTGTAAATCCTGCAGCGATTCAGCCATGATGACAATGTCGTCAGCAAATCGTAAGTGAGAGATGTTCTCGCCGTTGACATTAATGCCGTAATTTTTCCAATCCAGCATTCTAAACATATCCTCCAACGCAGTTGTAAATAATTTAGGGGATATAACATCCCCTTGTCTTACACCACGCTTTAGGTGGATATGCTTAGTCTGCTGGGTTTGTACTTGTCATTGTTGCAGCGTTATAGAGACATCTCAACACTTCGATGTATCGCCAGTCGACTTGGCACCGCTGCAGAGACTCCAGAACAGACCAGGTCTCGATAGAGTCAAAGGCCTTCTCATAGTCAACAAAGGCTAGACACAGAGGTTGATTATACTCTTCTGTTTTCTGTATAACCTGCCTTACTGTGTGAATGTGATCTATGGTGCCATAACCACATCGAAACCCGGCCTGCTCCGGGGTTGAAACTCATCAAGCCTTCGCGCAAGCCGATTCGTGATGACTCTTGAAAATAGCTTGTATATATGGCTTAACAATGAGATGGGCCGATAGTTCTTCAGTAGGGTTTTATCTCCCTTTTTGAAGAACAGAATAACTATGGCCCTACTCCATGCCTGTGGAGTTCTCCCGGTGAAGAGAACGGAATTGAAGAGTTCCTGAAGTACCGCAAGTACAGGAGTACCTCCAGCCTTCAGGAGCTCTGTAGTTATTCCGTCTTCACCTGGGGCTTTTCCATTTTTGAGCTGTTTAAGAGCCATCACGATCTCGTCACGACTAATTTCGGGCATCTCCTCAGTGTAGTGGCGTGTCAGAGGAGCTCTGGAATCGACAACAAGAGATTCAGGCCGATATGCATGTGAGGCGTACAGTTCTCCGAAGAAGTCTTCAACTTCCGAGAGAATCTCCGGCTTAAAAGCGGTAACCGTCCCTGCAGATGTGGTTACCTTCGACAAGTGCCTTCTTTCTAGTTGTTGGACGAACACTTTTGATCCCCGATTCTGCTCAATTGCTTTTTCAATTAAAAGTGTGTTCGAGGATCGGAGATCACGTCGTACCAATTTAGAAATTTTTTTATTTAATACCCGGTGTTCTGGTGATGTTAGCGTTGGGGACTTGTCGCGTCGATGTTCAATAAGCTGCAGAGTCTCTCCCGAAAGTCTAGTCCTTTTTCCTGTACGCCTCTTCTCGCAAAATTTCGTGCCTTCATCCTTGAGGCAAGCTATTATAGTATCGAGTCTTTGGTCAATACTGTCTGTGGTTTCCAAAACAGCAAACCGGTTTTCCAGTTTTAATTGGAATGCTTTAGAACCAACAATGGTTTGGAGCATATTTGGCCGGAGCGTCGACTTCATCAGGCGTATTCTTTCCAGCTTGAGATCGATATTCAGAGAGCCACGAACTAATCTGTGATCGCTTCCGGTTTTAAACCTAGTGATCACAGAGACATCTCTGAATATACGCTTCTTATCCGTCAAGATGAAGTCGATCTCGTTTTTGGTCATAGAGTCGGGGCTCTGCCACGTCCACTTTCGTTGAGGTTGTTTCTTGAAGAAAGAATTCATCAAGAACAACCCCTCTTTCTCTAGAAAGTTGACGAGCATTTGCCCCCTATGATTCCTACTACCAAAACCATGTGGTCCCATAGCTGTCGATTCGCTGCCGGTTTGGATTCCCACTTTAGCATTAAAATCCCCCATAACAATGTTGTAGAATGCCTTTGAGGTGTTATGTATGGCCTTGGATATGTCTTCGTACATACTTTCTACTTCATCATCCGAGTGTGCCGATGTCGGTGCGTATACTTGCACAACTTTAAGGCTATACCTCTCAGTTAGCTTTAATACGAGATACGCAACCCTATTCGACACACTGGAGATTTCTACAACATTGCTTATTAGGGTCTTATGGACCAAAAACCCGACACCACCTTGGGAAGGTTGTTCTCCCTCCCTGAAATACATAAGATGGCCAGATTCCAGAGTCATGGTGTCCTCCCCCTCTCTTCGGACTTCACAAAGACCAAGAATATGCCATCTTATGTATTTCAGTTCTTCTTCCAGTTGCGCGAGGTGTTCATCCAGTCGCAGTGTACGTCCGTTATACGTAGCCAGGGTCAATGAGTGTTGGCGGCCTACCGTAGCCCGGGGATTCTTAGCACCCCTTGCTCTGCCGTTACCATGACCGCCGCCTTGGCCAGGAATAGCAGAGCGGCCGGGAACTAGGGGCCATGGTTGTGTAGGACCTGTCATGGGAGGAATGTGCCCATAATCGCCACGCTGGGCATGCGGGTTGGCGATCGCAGTACACAGTTTCTCGCACCGATGACGCTGCTGCCCATCATCAGTCTGTGGGATTTGAAACTGTGTAGATAGAATGGTTATACCGCCATTTGTCGGTCGTCAGAGCCTCGTCTGTTATTTAGCAGGATGTGCCGCGAGCAGGTGAGGTTGACTTAGAGCACTGGGCTGGTGTTCGCGCTCCCTTACATCCCTTCGCGCTCCCCATCAGATATCGTTGATTTAAATGACAACATAATCTAAATGAAAACACAAATACTTTTTCGGTAAGTACCTACATAATTTCGTAAAGAATTTTCTATTCAAATAAGTACAATATAGATATTTAAAAATATTTCATATCTCATAGCCTTTGCAATGATAAATTATTTGATTAATTTATTAGGTTTATCAAATAGCATTACTATTAATTATAAATATAATTATTAGTGCTCAAGACACCATTACCACCATCTCAGTACCTAACCAAGTCCATAACCAAGTCTGAGACAACTGTATTACAATGTAATTTTATTATGACGACATGTCCGTGGTGGTGTTCATGTAGGCGAAGGTTGCCACTTACCATCAAATAGGCCGTCTTGTTTCCCTTTCCAATATGCATATATATAATCTAACCAGATAAAAAGTACATTAAAATCATATTTTTGAATACAAATATTTGCACCGTGCGAGGATTACAACCCATGACCATCGGAAATGAAGCGATGTGCTAAACCACAAGACCACTGCTGCCATCAAATATTGATATATAATTATACTGACATAATGACAGATAACTAATTCTTTGCTGGGCAGATTGCTGACAGCTGTAATCGCATAGTCCTACGATTACGAAATCCGAACAGACAGCCGTCTGATCTCATATGACGTTGTTTATACACACATACATATATAATGTACATTCTTCAGAGAGTATTTTAATCTTCGGATTAGGTTTGGCACACATATGTTACGTCATATGATACCGATGTTTCTTCACTCTATTTAATTCCACCAGGAAAACAAACAAGATAATGCTCTCAGTGTTAGGAATAAAATCTTAATTACTAAGTCCATACTAACGTTATAAATGCAAAAGTGTGTCTGTATGGCTGTTTTAATAACTAAACTGCTGAACGGATCATGTCACAAGAACGGATATAGGCTAATTCTTATCTCAAAAAATAAACAGGAAGTGGTAAAGTAGGGTATAAAAGTTAGGGCACACGAAGTCGTAGGTAATTGTAATATTGCAATTGCAAATAAATCATTAATATTTAAAAAATATCTTTCAAGTAAGCTTCTTTTATTTGATTTTATTTAAATTATGTAAGTCTTTAAACATCTCTTAAATACATATTAATATTTAAGTAATTAAATACCTAGGAATAATAATATAAAAAAAATCTAAATTTAAATTGTTTTATTGTTTGATGCCATTATACAGATGTAAGGTACATATAATGTTTCCATTGTATACAGAATGAGATATTCTTATATGGATATGTGTATTAAAATAGAAATAGTTTATAAAAAAATGTATATGCTAAAAATGTATATATAGTAATTGTATATACTAATATAACTAACTTTATTTCTACATTTTTAAGAATAGCAGAATAATTTGAACTAATTCATATATACTTATAGAATTTTATACTTTTTAATACAATGAGCTGCATGCACTCATTGTATCGATTAATAGTAATCAATTTTAAAAACTACCGAGACCGTCAAATACGATAAATGGTGGTACTTCACGGTTCCAGGAATATATTTTTATAACAAACATCCTATGCATCGGCAGGACTTCTCTTGGGTCCGCTAGTCTATACTAATACTATAAATATCAAATAGTAACTGTCTGTTCTTCTAATACCTTTTCACGACAAAACAGCTGAACCGATATAATTTTCGCGTGAAGATAATTTGTATCACGAGAACGGACATAGCATATCTGTTACCTCAAATAAAACACGTCGGTGTCGTGGGGATTAAAAAAAACACTAAACAGTCTACGTTGCCAGGCACATATAAATACAACACACTTGAGCATTTCCGGCATTTTATCGTCATAATCAAGATAAGCGGACACTGATCCGTATGTGCTTACATGCATGCGTATAAACAATATAATGTATTCATTAATGCAACAGATTTTCACATGTGCGCTATACACAACTCAACAGATATCTCGTGTTTCGAAATGAGTATTGCATATCATTAGCCGAAACCATCCACAATGTATAACGGTTATTTTGGTTTAAAAATATGATATGTTTAAGCTTAATCTTTTTACACTACCAAGCTAAATTATCATGCTTTTATAACACATATACATTTCTGCAGTAGGCACTAAAAGAAATTGTATTCATAATAAAATATAACTAGATAAATTTAAATTAATTAAATTATGTTTTCATATTCACAAATTATTATATCGGTTGTTAGTAATGTGGACAGTTGATCCTATTGCTAGCAATGTACTATGTCAGATTATCTTTCACGGGATTCTGCTGGAAACCGTCATATTGCTGGAACCGTTCAATAAATTCTTGGTACATTTGACCTTGTATTGTTCATCTTATCAGCCTCCACTGGTGCCCTGCCAGCGAAAAGCGTTAGTTCAGACGGGTGTATCATTCCATTCACATTCATTATATGTATATATTCCTTAAAGAAGCGTTAAGCAGGTAATTTTTTACCAAATTACCTACTTGGGAAACTCATCTCGATTACGTAAGTCGTTTTTCCTACCGCAGAGTCTTAAGTATAAACGGTTTATACAACTATACGACGACATACGTACGCTGACTTCTAATCGAAAAGAAACAAAAAGACATTACTAAAGTCCTTAAAATAAAAAGAACGTGCCTAAGAAATGTAAGTACAAAGAAACGTTTGTTCCAAAGCATTTAGAGAACATTTACATGTTATTATATGGATCTGTGAAGCTGGCATCCTAATATACTGGTAGGATCATATTTGCCGAGTCCATACCGACAAAGTCGTTATTATATGCTAATTTATCCTGGATATCGTGTTCGACTCAATCAACCGAAATGAATATTTTATTAGCCGAGAACTTAGTGGTTTGCGTTTGCAATTTCAGGACTTATCGAAGTTTGTTCTTTACTTACTCATATTTGTTTTTAAACGAAGTATTGATTACTCTTCTGAATGATTTTATTTCTGAATTACAAAGTAATATAGATTTAAATATAACCATTTCGAATTAACATACGTAATATTTAATATAATTAAATTGGTATTTGAATTGTACGGTAAATACTTACTAGCAACAAAACGATCATATTGACAGTCATCTATGAATTGGTATAACTACTATTCGAATATATTGGAGACGTGTATACGCGCCTCTTACATACATACCTGCTAATAAATTTTAACATACAGAGACTGTTTTTCTTGTAAGGTCAGAGCCAACACAAAAAGCATTATTGTTTGTTTTTTCTCGAATAAATCTATATATATTTTTATATATTATACCTATTTTTAGAAATGTGATATTACGACTATTGTTTTATTTAAGATAAAAAATAATAAAAATACTAGATTGAAAAAATAAATACCTACCTAACTAGATATTCTGATTCATTCAACAAGTTATTTAATTAGGAAATATAGCTATATAATTCAATCTTCAATATAATAGATACTTAATATTCCGACAAAACAATGACATGCAGCAATTAAAATGTCAGGATGTAACCTATACAAAGTGCAAAAATAACAATGAATCACTTTCCTATTCAAATTTGAATAAAAAAATCACGTCTGCAATTTCCGTTTTGACAAAGTCACGTTTAAGTTAATAATATTTGTTATAAAAAATTAGTCATACTACAATTATACATACATAGAAGAGATACAAGTTTAAATGTTTTTTCTTCGACTGGCAACACCGACGACAATTGTCATTTTCAGCTGGCCGTAATAATAAATAAATTTTAATTGTTTATCATACAAATATTATAATTTCAATATTGTTATTAGTGATCTAATAGTGTAATTAGTGTCGATTGTTGTTTGTGTACAGTTTAGTGGTGTATTACTTGCAAAAATCGACATTACAAATAGTGTACCGGCCATCTGTCAAACTGTTCGTGAACAACTAAGTTTTATTCAAAATTATTTTGCAATTGTTTCTTGGATTTATCCCAAGAAACTCATAATCATTGCAAGTTTTACATAAAATATTCATATTAAGTTAAATTAATAATAATTATAGTGAAGTTCGGTTGTTGCATACGTCGAAGGAAAAAAATACCCACTAATTTAATTGTAAGTCTTTTTATATTTTGTATTATTATAATTTAAAGGGAAAAAGCACAATTTATCTACATTTATTTCGTTATTCAGTTAAAACGTTTATTTAGATTATCAATTTATCAAATATAACTTGTATATAATATACCTAGGAGAATTTATTCACAATTTTAACACTTAAACTGTATAGTAAGGTTCAGCTGCTGTTCTCGTTGTAATACTTAGCTTCTTTTAGAAATAGCTCACTTCACTCTCCCTAGTAACTATTTATATTCTTAATAATGTCACTATCTACCCGTTCCACAACTGCGCGGCAGACAGAGATGAAGCTTAAAGTGGCCCTACAAGAACTTCAGGCATCCAAAGATCTCAGTGACAAGTTGATCAGGGAGAGAGAAGAGAGTGAAGATGAAATTTTAAAAATTATAAATAAAAATACACAATTAAAATCTGAATTGTCAGAACTTCATAATAGTCATCAGAAAGTTATTGAGCAGCGGGATCAGCTTCAAGAACTATTAAGTAGCTTTCACCAATGTAGTGATACACATGAGCAAGCCTTGAGGCGTATCACTGAGTTGGAGCTTGAGTTAAAGCAGGCATATCTTAAAATTAATGATCTTGACACAAAATTTGAATCTCAACAAAGTAATGAGATTAGTAATTTATATGATGAGCTTATTAGTGTCGACTGTATGCCTCCTTCTACTTCAGTTCCATGCAGCCATCCAGTTGTGATTGACCTTACTAGTGACACATCACAAGGCAACTATAATAATAACATATGTATGTTGAGTCATAATAAATTAAAAAAATATTTAAAATTAAAAAAGTTTATAACTAAGACTCGGAGTATATTATATAAACGTTCCAAAAATGGTCAGTTGCTGAAAAAAACTAGTTTAAACAATTTAAAATTGCATGATTATATTAATAAGTATAATAATAAACTAGTGGAAAGCCAAAAGTTATATGACATGGATACAAGTTACCTAACTTCAAAAATAAAGAGTTTAGAATCATCGCTTCATGATTTAAATAACAAGTATACAATCTCACAAAAACAAATCCAGGAGCATATTTTGGCAATGGATGATTTGATTGATGTCAGTAAATACAATGCTGACCGTTTTGAGTCGTTAACTAAACATTGTACATGTGATCATTCAACTTTGCCAAATAATAATTCAGTTTCAACTGTGCAGATAAATGAAGTTCAGGGGATTTGTGTCAGTGACTATAATCCTAAAAGTAGCACAATGGTGTTTTCTGACAGAATAGGCTGTAATTTTGGGTCTATATTGAAGTATCATCTTAAGGGTGATGTATTAAATTACTGTATGCCAGGGGCATCATTTGCACAAATTATTAACAAAATTAAATCTACTAAAATAAATAAAATGACCACAGTTGTGTTATTTTTCGGTAATAGTATTAAATTAAATAGACAGGATATAATTAAAGGTATTCAATATTTGTTACAATTGAATGTATATAAGATTGTATTGTGCGCTCTTCCTTATACAAGTAGCCATTATCATAAAAAAATTAACAATAAGGTACATTACCTTAATAATTTATTGCATACATTGACATGTCGTCATAGTGACGTTTTTACATTTTTTGACACTAATAGTTTTATTAGTGATTTTTATTTGACAAAAGATACAATGTATCTTTCTAAATCTTCTAAGAATAAAATAGCCACTTTAGTGGCTTATAATATTGACTTCATGAACAGTTTACATGGTAAACTTCAATATAAAAATTGTGACATAACAAATGATTCTATTAATTTTTGTTTAAATAGTGATATAAGTAATTTGACTGCAGATTTAAACTGCTAACAAAGACAAAGGGAAAGCAATTAGAATTGGTAATTGTTCATCAGAACATACAAAGTTTTCCCGGCAGTGAATTAATTATACAATTATTTTTGGAAAAATACAATATTGACATTATCTGTTTCACTGAACATTGGCTTAAAGAAAGCAATATGATGTTCAGTTTAAATAATTATAATGTTGTCAGCTGCTTCAATAGAAAGTCAGTTAACAGAGGTGGGTCTATGATAATTGCAAGAAATAATATTAAAGTAAAGGAACGTGCTGACATTGTTAGACTTTCTATTGAGTGTTGTACAGAAATCTCATGTATAGAACTAGATAATTATATACTTATATGTGTTTATAGGCCTCCTAATAGTGATTATAATGTATTTGAAGAGGTGATGGAGGATATATTAAAAAAAGTATTTAATAGCAGTAAAAAAATCATTGTGTGTGGTGATTTTAACGTTGATATTCTTTGTGATACACCCACATGTACAAAAATTATTAGTTTATTTCAGTCTTTTAATTTGAGTAATGTCTTTCAGGAACCCACTCGTGTAACCGCTACGACTGCTACTTGTCTTGACAATGTTTTTTGTAACTGTGAGTATATTGAAAAATTAATAATAAATAAACTTCCTTCGGATCACTGTGGTCAAGTTGTTAAGTTTAGTAATCAGACTAAAAAAAATACCAATAATAAAAGATCAAAAAGACAAATAAATGCTTACAATATTAATAAATACAAAAGCACGGTTAAATATAAATTAGACTTAGAGTTACAATCTGTCAGTCTTAATAATCCTGATATTCTTTACACCAAGTTAATTAGTCTTTTGTCAAAAGAATACCAGAATATTTTCAAGAAAAGAGAATATTGTGTTAAATCTAAATTTACAGAATGGGCAACAGTAGGAATACTTAAAAGTAGAAACATTTTATTTGATTTATATGATCAAAAAAAATATAGATTTGATGACAAATTTACAACTTATGTGAGAAATTACTCTAAAATTTTCAAACAAGTTTGTATTGCAGCTAAATCTAATTTTATAAATAAACAAATTAATCAGTCCTCTGACAAAATTAAGACCATCTGGGGAATTATAAACAAAGAAACTGGACGGTCTGAAAAAGCCTGCAATCAATTCTCATTAAATTATGACAATAAGTTAATAACAGCAACAAAAGATATAGTTCATATTTTTCAAGATTTTTTTGCTAATATTCCAATTGATATTACATCTTCTCTAGACTCATCTCCAATTCGGGCAAAAACATTACTGGAGGCTAATGTCAGCCCTTGCTCTTTAACATTTAAATTTTCACATGTCAGCCCTTTTCATGTCATAAAAATATTCAAACAGTTAAATTTAAAAAATACGGAAGATCTCTGGGACATGTCAGTTAAAGTAGTTAGTTCATTCATAGATATTGTTGCTCCTTATCTAGCTACTATTTTCAATAAATGTGTTGATAATGGCGTGTTTCCTCAATTAATGAAATTTAGCAAATTAATTCCACTCTTTAAATCTGGAGATAGATTTGAGCTAGGCAACTATAGACCAATTTCTATTTTGCCAGTTCTAAGTAAAGTATTTGAAAAGATTATGTTTAACCAAATGTTAAAATACTTCAGGGATAACGGACTGCTTCACAGTCAGCAATATGGTTTCACTGCCGGCAAGTCTACTACTGATGCAGGTGTAGCGCTTATTACACATATATTCGAATCATGGGAAAAATCACAGGATGCTCTCGGCGTTTTTTGTGACTTGTCGAAGGCGTTTGATTGCGTAGATCATGAAACACTTTTGTACAAGCTCAAACACTATGGTATTAGAGATAATGACCTAAGTCTAATGAAAACTTATCTAGAGGATAGGGTGCAAACTGTAGATATTGATGGTGTAAAGTCTAAAGGAACTAATATAAAAATGGGCGTTCCTCAAGGTTCAATATTAGGCCCATTTCTCTTTTTAATTTATATAAATGACCTTCCCTACATGGTAGAGAAAGTTGCAGACATAGTGTTATTTGCGGATGATACTTCGTTAGTGTTTAAAATTGGTCGCCAATGTAATCAATTAGACGATGTAAATTATGCTATCTCTGCTATACTAAATTGGTTCACATGTAATAATCTATTATTGAACTCCAACAAAACTAAGTGCATTAAATTCACGCTGCCTAATGTAAAACAAGTAAATACGCAGCTATTGCTTAATGATGAAATAGTAAATTTTGTTAATGATACCGTTTTTTTAGGAATAACAGTGGACTCGAAGTTACAATGGGGGCCCCATATTTCAAAATTAGCCAGTAGACTTAGTTCTGCTGCTTATGCAATTAGAAGGATAAGGCAATTAACAGACGTGGCGACGGCAAAACTTGTATATTTTAGTTATTTCCATAGCATTATGTCATATGGCATACTGCTATGGGGTAAAGCTGCCGATATAAATACTATATTTATTTTACAAAAGAGAGCCATACGTTCTATTTATGGTATGGGTTCTAGAGAGTCATTACGTCAATGCTTTAAACAATCAAATATCCTCACCGTTGCCTCACAGTACATTTATGAAAATATTATGTATACAAGGAAAAACTTAGATAGTTTCAAGAAACTTAAAGACTGTACAAGTAGAAACTTACGCAATAAAAATAAGCTAATTTTACCGAAATGCCGTCTACACAAAGTTAGTAATTCATTTTATGGTAATTGCGTAAGATTCTATAATAAACTGCCAGAGTCTACGCTAAATCTTACAGAGAGGCAATTCAAATCTTATATTAAACAAATGTTATGTAAAAAAGCCTATTATAAGATAGATGAATTTATAGATGATAGCAATATATAGCAAGAATAAGTTTATTTGCGGACAACATTATAATTTTAATTTTCATACTGCTTTCTTGATATATGATAGCGTAGCGGCTTTTGTATTGATTGCCGCATGCATCCTTATGTAAAGTGCGAATACTGTAACTACCATATAGTAATTTTTGTAGCTGTGACGTGGTCGTGTGGAATGAGTAGTCATGCTCACTAAAATGTCCAGACATGTGGCGGCGTGGTGGGCCGGGTCAATGGGCTCCCTAAAATATGGTCGAGCGCAGTGATGGCTGGCTCATCCGTCATACTCGTGAACGAGTGCTGCTTGTAGGGACTGGTCTGCTCTTATCACTACGACTGATTTAATCTTATTGCATGATTATATTTGACCCAAAAAATTAGTGCTTGTTGGTAGTTTGTATTCACACGTTTCGACTTGTAAATGTAAACTTACAAGGATTATTTAAAAGAGCAACACACAAGTTTCTTGCTCGTTCTTCTTGTGATGAGACAGCTTTCCGAACGAGTGGTAGATAAAAAACAAATTGTTATGACTATTCAAAAGTGCTTAAATTAAGTTTATTTGAATAAATGATTTTCTATTCTATTCTAAAAAAAATGCATTTTGAGCCTATTCAAGCAACGTTACTGGCTGGTGGGGGTAACAAAGAAATTATCTGTAAGTCTATTTTATCTGTGATAACGCCGCCTTAGGACTGTATTTGCGTTTTTATAAAAAACGGAAAAATATATTTTAAGCTTTTCCGTCATACTCGGGAACGAGTGCTGCTTGTAGGGACTGACCTGCTCTTATCACTACGACAGATTTAATCTTATTGTATATTTATATTTGACCTAAATAAATTAGTGCTGGTTGATAGTTTGTATTCACACGTTTCGACTTGTAAATGTAAACTTACATGGATTATTTTAAAAAGCAACACACAAGTTTCTTGCTTATTCTTCTTGTAATGAGACAGCTTTCCGAACAAGCGTTAGATTTATAAAAAAAATGTTGATTATTCAAAATTTATTGCTTAAATTAATTTTATTTAAATAAATTATTTTCTATTCTATTCTTAATTATAATAACTAAAGACGCCATAGCGAATTCACATTTTCATGCCGAAGAATGATGCGAGTGGTAACGAAATATTTTACTACATTTTTCTCACTGTATTAGCTAAACTATCTAAAGTTCTGCTATGTCTTACTTGCTTACTTAACAATAATAAAAATAATTTTTAAATTTTAAATTACATACTGCTTTATATTAATTACATAATACCAAATAGGTCTCCGCTCAGCAAATGTTGTGACGGGGTGCCACGACGCAGGTATTATGCGGATACCTTCATACATATAATAATGACAATAATATACATACATACATAGGATCTAGGTGGATGACACAGAGAAGTCTTTGTCTCAGTATAAATTCTAAAAATCGTCGTCGTGGTCTACGTGGTGTAGGTACTACCCTATCCTCGAATTCGAATCTGGTTGATATAAAAAAGTATATGTCCAATTTATATCTTTGTAATTAATCTAGAATTGATAATAAATTTAGAACACTTGCACTGCCATTATCCGTTAATTCTTTCACTGTCACAGCGTTAGATTGGCTGGAAGAGATCTCTTTCAAAGATAGGCCCATCTTGCTCATATTTTTTTATAACTTTATTGTATTTTTTTATAAGTGAAAAAATATTTAATTAATCGCATAAAATGGTATGCTATTTATTGTATCTATAACCTAATCCTGACTCTTCTATCCGTGTAGAAATATGTCATCGTTCATAAATGTGGTACATAAAACTACTAATCGGACAGACAAAATTGGATGCTTTAACATTTATACTCGTAATGAGTACATACGTAAGCGGAACATTTAATGGTCACCAATTAATCAACTAGGGTATGGCACTAGATACCTCAGTAGTTAGCTGCGAATAACCTTGAATTAATTTTGGTATTCATGGTAGATAACAGGAACAATAAAAATATTTGGTTATCTATGCCGATATCTCGATATCGATTTCAAAATGTCTCCGTGACTTATTAAGCAAAAGGATATATGATTTACATATCAAATATCGGCTATTGTATGTACAGTTGTATTCACAAATATATTTCTTTGTAGTTTTTAAGAATTTTATATACAAAAATCACTTCCGTATGGACATATACATACTTTTTTCATATTTAAATTTAAGATTCATTCGTGCGGTTGTTTCCTATTACCTATTATTTTATTTCACAAAGTTGCGTATAGGATGTATATTTATAAAAAAATGCAAATAAGAAAACGTATTATAAAATATCTCAATAACTCACAATGATATTGATCTAAAGTTGTGATTACAAAATCAAGTTTTTAAAGGTAATTGAAACTCTCCACCACTTAATCCACTCCACTTAATGGTAAATATCAACCATGGACTTGATATCATCATGTGAGACCCGTGATACCCCTCTAATTGGCCATTGAAATTAGGAAGACCTACTAATTACTTGACTATACTCTGAGAAATTGTACGTTATATAGCATATAGGTAGGCAAACGAGCTTACGGACCACTAATAAGAGATCAGAACTTCTGGTGAATGGCAGCCAAGTTACCGCATTTAAGGAGGAATGAGCTAGTAAATATTACTTAGGTAAAGTACATTAAAGTAAGTAAATAGTAAATGGCCTCGTATAACTATATAAAAATACTGTCGAACATCAAAACTCTTTCTCTTTGAAGCCAAATGAAAAATTA